TTCTCTCTCATAGTCCTTTTTCGATCGGTGCTGTTGTATCCGCTGTAGTAACGATGGGTAAAGTCGTGTTTTACCGGGTAAATAAAGAAATTTCTTCCTCTTCGACCGTCGAGATGTTAACACTCCGACGAAATAATTCTCCCTCTCTCTCTCTCTCTCTCTCTCTCCCTCTTTCTTTCTTTCTCCTCTCTATCTATCTCTCTTTCTCTTTCTCTGCTTGATTTATGTATCGTAGTATCGATGGAGCAACCCCTTTCAGATGTTTTCTGTCGATGATTCTTTTATCAAGAGGGTTGGTTGGTTGGTTGGTTGGTTGGTTGGTCGGTCATCCGTTCGTTCTTGAATTTCTGATATAGTCAATATTTTTCTTTGATCATCCGTATAGGAACACTATAGTGCTGACCTCGCAAATTTTTCAATTGAACACGTAGGAATTCGAAGGTATTAGATTTGAATCAATTGATATCATCAATTTTCCAAAAGACAATCGAAGCGAGTATTCTCTCGTTGTAATCGTTTCAATGAACGATCCCACCATGAACCTTACGAACCTGTGATTGTGATCCAAGGTAGAATGATCCGTTTTCGGCGCTGACGACACCAATGCGTGCGACGCTAACGCATGTGCGTGAGGACCCAATCCATGATGCGGTGGCATCAGACCCGTCGGCGAAAATCGGTAGAGATCACTGAAAATAAATCGTACGATTGTCATATTCTCGTATCGATTTAATTTATAAGTGGTATATTCGATCGATCGACTTTGATCGTCCGAAGCAAAACAAAACGAAAATTATATATTCCTGTGAAAGAATAAGAATTCATTCAAATATCATATCCCATACTAACCTTGGTAAACTCGAACTCGTTATCGGTAAACTCGTTGGATAAGGACTTCGAAAGCCAGCACTCGCTGGTGAAATAGGGTACATGCTTGGGGTATGCCTGAAATCAATCGTTTCTATAAATTGACATCGTTTCTTGTAAAACGTTATACGAGTTTCCTTCCGAGGATCCTTTAAAGAAAAAAAAAAAAAAAAAAAAAAAAAAAAAAAGAAAAAAAAAAGAAGAAGATTCGAATAAATCACTGGCGACCAAATGAAGAAATAATAGAAGTCCATTGGATTTATTATCTCTTTAGTGACGATTTTGTTGTTGGCACGAGGAGTACTAAAGAGAGAAAAAGAAGAAGAAGTAGAAGAAAAAGAAAAAGAAGAGAGAGCGTAGTACAGGGATCTCCTAATTGAGGAGAAGAGATCTAATCATCCGTGGAAAATCTCAATTTGCGGTGGGTCGGGCAGAAAGCAAATAACAAGGAGGGAGCGAAGTTTCTGAGCGAGGCCGATGCTTCTGAACGGGCAACCGCCTTTCGTGAAAGAGGAGGGTGGCCCGGCCCATCGACGATCATGGACCGCCACCGCCCTGTCCGTCCTGTATCCGATCTAATAGACCGGAACCGAGAGGATGAACGACGAGACTGACCGAAACGGCCGGCACACTCTCGGCACCCAATGATGTTGAGATTTTCTCGAAAAAGGTATTGCGAAAGTAGAGAGGAGTTAGCCCCGAATACGTACTACTTCTCTCTCTCTCTCTCTCTTTCTCTCTTTCTTTCCCTCTCTCTCTCTCTTTGACTCTTTCCCATTTGTTCCTGGCTCGTTTAGAACATCGAACCAGTTTTCAATAGCTCGCCTCGTGCTATTTACCTGCGGACCGCTCTATTTATGTCCGAAGCTTCCGAAAAATCAGCTCTCGTTCGGCTACCCCGGACTTATTCTCTCTCTCTCTCTCTCTCTCTCTCTCTCTCTCTCTCTATCTATCTCTCTGCTCTCTCTATACTTTATCTTTTTTTAGGTTTTTTTTTCTTCTCTTCTTTATCCTTTTTTTCGGTATTCACCCCTTAAATTCTGAACACGAGCATCTCGTTCGAATGAATGGAAATCCTGTGATGGAATGAGAGAGAGAGAGAGAAAGAGAGAGAGAGAGAGTGAGATCGTTATTACAGTACCGTTATCAGTAAAATTTCTATTGCAAAAAAAAAAAAAGATATTCTGGATTCATACGTTATGAATTATTTGATAGATAACAAAAATTGTCTTTTCTTTCTTCCTTTTTTTTTCCCCCTTTTTTTTTTTGTACGCAACGGATTAAAATTGGAAAAAATAAAAAATTGTTTTGATGCTAGTCAAGAAAAATAGACTCGTTAGGGATTTAGGTCGCTAGGGATTTCTGAAACGAAGTTAATTAAAATTTATCGATGACGTGCATATTCCCATGGTTTTTCTTTCTTTCTTTTTTTTTTTTTCTAATACGTTTCACATACCAAGAAGCGGCGACTTGCGTCATTTCCGGGCTAAGCATGGGATATGGATATTGGCCTGTCGAAAAGGGATACATCGGCGCCCTAGTCAGACCTGAAACATAAAAAACAAAAACAAAATATATTGCGTATATGTATAATAAATATTTCAATTTTGGACGAAATTATTACGAACTAGTG